TTGTAGCCCAGAATGAAACATTCATACTTAACCACCTCAGAAATCTTCATATGACATCTAATAGGAAAAAAGTTGACTTATTTGTGTTGTAGCAGAATCAGAAAACTTGACAAGAAATGTGCAAAAGAAATCAATAGTGATATCAATAATTATTATCACTACTAGAGGCCTAACGCATGAAGATCCATGCAAGAATGGGCCTTCCTTCCTCTGGCTGCTGGCAGTTTCGCTCTGGCCCAGAGCCACCATTCCACCTTCCCACGCTGCCCAGAGGCCCAGAGCTGCTGTGGCAGTGTGGAACTCATGCTTCGTCACCATGGTGACAACACAAGCATCCTGCCTTGCCCCTGACCACTCAGCACCTGTGTATGCAAATTAACCCACCATCTTTTTGGGTTAATTTGCATACTTACTCCTGGTTGGCTGGTGGATATTGCAAAGGTATGGTCAATTTGCATCATACTCTTTTATTAGTGTAGATACTCCTTAAAAGTCACAAGGAATGTTTACTTGTTCAATATTTTTCAGTGTTTCTGAACTATTAAAATAGAAAATCTCACATAAAACCACCTTCAGTGGTTTTATTAATAGAGATTTAAGTGAAGCTTATTTTTTTGTTCTTAACAACTATCTTTGTTCACCCTTTACAATGCTATTTCCCTTTTTAAGACCATCTGGAATTTGACTATCTTCAGGTATTTAACAAGCCCTGAAGTAATCTCAAAGATGTCATCATATATTTCAGGAAGGTTTAAACATGCCCTAACAGTTACAAGTTAAGGACACAAAGTCCATCTACTGTAGTTTGTTTTTAGTTAAAGAGAATTTAAGATCTGGAAGGAACCTTATCTAGTTTGATGACTAAATGAGGAGACTGAATTTTGGATACCCCAAAAGAGCAGAGCAACACGCATGCTCTGTATGTCATCCAGAAATCTGCACCCTGAGCCATTCTCTTTCTTCCATTTGTTTACATTTCCTCAGCTCTCATATTGCTTTTTAATGTATACTCATGAGTCTTCTTTTAACAAAAACACAACAAACTATCCCATAGCCCCCATCTAGCTACTACCAACTCCTTTCTTTTTACACACAGACTTCATGAACGAGTTGTCTGTCTGGGCTCAGGTGCTTCATTCTTATCCCTCAACCCCTTCAGTTTGGCTTCTGACTGCTATCAAAATGCTCTTACCAAGGTTGCTCGTGACCTCCCTGACACCACAGCCAGTGGCATTTTTCATATCTCTCTGAAGCATTCTGCATCATTGATCACTCTTCCCTTGGTTTCTGAGATTTTTCTTCCCCCTCTCTGATGGCCCTTCTCTTGTTTCCTTTCCAGGTTCATGCTCCTCTAGTTGGCCATTGAAAGCCAGTGTATTTTCAAGGAGCCCATTCTGTTCCACCTCTCTATCCTCTTCTCAGGTGACTTCCCCACACCTGTGGCTTCCTTTATTAGAGATGACTCTCAAATAGATAGAGTGACATATATGCACTTACATGCACACACACAAATACACACACACACACACACACACACACATATATATATATATGTGTGTGTGTGTGTGTGTGTGTGTGTATACCTATAAACAGATGTTAGGTAGTTATGTATATGTGTGTGTGTGTGTGTGTATGTGTGTATTATGTATACGTATATAAGTAGGTAGGTAGTTTGGTAAATAGATAGATTGAGTAGGTATGTAGGTTGGTGGATAGATAGATTGGTAGGTATCCTATGCTGTTCTTCTGGAGCTTCAGATCTAAATTTCTGCCTGCCAAAGGCATCTCAAATTCATTATGTCAAAAACTAAACTCATGATTCCTCATCTAAGCCAACATTTTCTAGTGTTCTCAATCTGTGTGAACAACTCAACACCCAACTAGTTATTGCAGACCAAACTTCAGGAGCCACTTCCTTACCTCTCTGTGCCTGTATCTAGCCCATCATTGAGTCTTGTTGGTCTTATTTCCTAAATATTTTCCTGATTTGTTTATTTCCTTTCTTGCCCACCCCACCTTTCCAGTCCTGAGCCACCATTGTCTTTGACCTGGACCATTGCAGTAGCCTCCTTACCTTGTTTATCTGCATCTACTTACACCCTCTTCGATTCATTTTACAAACAATGGAAAGAATGATTTTTCTGAAACTCACATCTAATCATGTAATGCTGCTTCCCAGAGCCCTTCAGTGTCTATCTGTTGCACCTACATGAAACACAAGATTCTTTACTATTTCCTGAAAGATTCTCTGTCATCTGCTCCCTCTCAAGCCTCATCTTATGCTGTGCTCTCCCTTGTTCCCTCTGCTGTAGAAATACCACTGTCTTCCAATCACTCATCATCATCAGTTTTACCTGCTAATGAACCTATACATATGCTACACCCTCATCTGTACACATACACACACACACACACACACAGACACACACACACACACACACACACACACACACAATCTTCAGAGCTAGTTTTAGGCAAAACCTCCTTAAAGGCATCCTTTCCTGACCTCACCTGCTGTAACTCCTGTACTTGCTTCCCCCGTACCCCCTCCCATTTGCTCATTGAACACTGGGCAAGGTAGCTCTCTTTCAGTTGCAGCTTTGCATTTATTTGAGGAATTATTTTATTATTTACTCTTCTACTTGTTTGTAAGCTCCCTAAGGGCAAAGTATATGTCTGACTTGTTCACCTTTGTGTCTGCAGTGCTGATCATAGTAATTAGCATATGGAAAATATTCATTAAGGTGTGTTGAGTGAATGAATGAACAGCAGCATTATGTAAAAATGAAGCACATTTTACAAGTCAGTAAGTTGTTGAGTAAAGGATGCACTAGAGGAAACAGAGATAAACCACCCTTAGCAGAGCCCCTTTTTATGTGCCAGGTAGTTCACACACCTTATTTAGATGGAAACAAGGAAAGGTCATGGGTAATTTTGTTTCCTTTTATAACTTTTTAAAAGGGTTTTTACGTGTGTTTCATGCAAACTCAAGGGTGACAGGAATATTTTTAATGACTTAATATTATATGAAATCTGTTTTTGCAATACTATTCTATTTTATTCCATTAACATATTGTAGTAATTTTCAACTCACATTGTGATGGTGCCTCTCCATAACTGGAAAATATATGAAGCGATTTTATATGAGGGGATAAGCAGACTGTGGAGTGGATAATATCCACTGTTGCCCTTCTTAGTCTCCTAAAAGCATGCTTTTCTTCTCATGTGGACTCTGTTTCCACTAAATAATAACTACCACCAGAACCAATCCTCCACTTGTCCCTTGATTATGTCCTAAACCTGTTAGGTTTTCACCACATTGAATTTGAAACTTTGAGAAATCTGAGGTAATATGTTGAATAGCAGGCAGATGTACTGGTGTGAACTCCAGAATAGCTAGCTGTCTGGGGTTATGGTGTTACCTTCAAGGTCCAGGTGAGAGGTTGGCGACTATAGTCAATAAGAGGTAACATGCTCTGCCCAAAGGAAGCAGCCATCAGCAGCTGGGGATTTGGCCAAGTGGCATCACACATCTACTGATACCGTATCTTCCAGTTTTTGAAGGGAATCCAGAAAGAAACTCAGACTTGGTGTAAACTGCAGGTTTTTAACTGTTGGCAACTAATGTGTTTTTTTTTTTAAAACATTCCCCAGAATACATGAAACATATCTATGAGCTGAATTTTGTCCTGGCCACCCATTTTGGAGTGTGGGTGCAGATTCTCCATCCTAGCTCTCCAGGTGCTCAGTCTGTGTCATCTCTTCAGAGTTGGACCTCCCTGCTGCTTCAGATGTCCTGCATTTTATTTTTTATTTTTAAAATATATTTTATTGATATTTTTCAGAGAGGAAGGGAGAGGGATAGAGAGTTAGAAATATTGATGAGAAAGAAATATTGATCAACTGCCTCCTGCACACCTCCTACTGGGGATGTGCCCACAACCAAGGTACATGCCCTTGACCGAAATCGAACCTGGAATCTTTCAGTCTGCTGGCTGACACTCTACCCACTGAGCCAAACCGGTTAGAGCCAGATGCCCTGTATTTTAAGTGGACATCTCCAAACATGGCAGGCTCATCCCTTTCCCTGGGGTTACCCCAAGTGGGAACCCCTCTTTTGTCCTCTAGCTGCCCTGTGAGACCCAGATTATTAGTTCCTGGGTTCAGAAGCCTATTGCCACCTACTGCAGCCTGCACTTGTCACTCAGGTGCTGGACACCTCATCACTTTCCTTAGGTGCCTTTAGTGACCAGTAGCTCATAGCCTTCCCTGGCTTTGACCTTCCAAAGTGTTTGCTTGCTTATTTGCTTAAGCAAGCTGAAATTTGCGACGCAGCCCCAATAATTTTGTCACCCTTGGGCATTGGCATTGAATTATGTCACCTCTTTTTCAGTCATTTTCTGAATAAACAGGACCTTAGTCAATTAAAAGGGTTTGTTTTTTTGTGTGTGTGTGTGCTTCATTTGATCATCTCAGTTTTAACAGGAAGCAATGGAAATAGACATTCCATGTACAGAATTTCTTTTCTCTCAAGTTCTGAGGGAGAATTTAGTAATAGTTACCTTTAGAACTTTCTCAGTTTTACCATGTTTTCTTTTGAAAGCACTTTCCTTTGAGATTTCTACTTTTATTGACATTAATAAGTACTTCCTAATTTTGTGACCACATATATTATATCTCTTTGAATAACTGATTTTTTTTTCTTCTCAGCAATCAAAAGTATAAGTTTTAAATGTCATAACATATGTGAATACTTGGGTCCATTATTTCTTCCTTAGGTAACCTGAGCATTGTGCTACTTGGCTGTAAAAAGTATCACATTTTACACATTTAAAAATGATTTAGGAAAGCAGGTTTTCTGAGATTGACTCTTCCCCTTATGATTATTGTGTTACAGTTCACTGGAAATTGCATTTCAATGATATAATTTCACTTTATGATGTTACCAACGGTCGAGGTTGCTTACTGTAAGCTCATTACAGTTTTTCGTGTGCTCTTAGGTGCCGTGATACTCTTGGGAAGAACCAATATGTTTCGCTTTAACCATCCAAAGGAGGCTGCCAAACTCAGGGAGAAGAGGAAGGTGAGCTGCATGAAATCCCCAGGAGCCAGCTCTGATCTTGGTGGGGCTATGTTGGAGTGTCTCCACTCTGGTGCCTAGAGTTTGATTTTCCTGTGTACAGATCCACAGTTCTGTAGTCTGGATTGATTCTGGGGAGTTTGTTTCCCACCAGATTATTGGCTGATGACGTGGGATGGTAAGCGAGTGAACTTCTAAGCAGGAGAATAGCTCCTAGACCCTTCTCTTCAGAGAGGAGCTGGGTATCATTGTGCGTTAAGTGGAGAGTGACTTCCACTATTGAGCATCTAGGTTAGGAGTTGACCCAGAATCAGAATGACTGTCATCCCAAAGCTTGCTTACTCTCTTTTTTTTTTTTTCCCTTGGGGTGTGAAGCAGCGAGTGAGTTTTGAACAACTGGGGAGACTTCATCTTGGTTGGATAAGGATATCCAGAGGGTACTTAAGTGATGGATGGGGACTAGGGATGTGGGAAAAAATGAGAGGGAGCAGGATCTGTTTAGGGTCATCATGCTGTAGGTTATTGAGGGTGATGATATCTCTATGAGCCAGGCACTGTATGGAACTTCCACATATATTCTACTGCTTTGTCTGTGCAACAGCTATTCCTCTCCCATCTCACAGATGATGGAGATGAGGAACAGACAAACTAGTTCCTTAGCCAGTGAGTGAGGAGTGAGGGCTGCAACCTGGCCTGCCAACTGCAACTGTTTGCCCCTCAGCACTGAGTTACAGAGCCCCTCATCTCAGCCTGCTCTTGTAAGGGCTGCTGGAGCTTGCCAGTCTGTAGATGGGAAATAAGAAAGCTGTAGACCTCAGCCTTCTCCAGCTGCTTGTCCCAGCTCCTGAAGCCTCTTATCTGTTCCAGCCCAGGGGCTCCCTGGAGGGTCCTTTCTAATACACAGTTACAACAAATATGTTTGCCAATAGCTTTTCCTAGAAGCAAAACAGGTCAAGCTCTTATTTTTTGGCCTTCTTTCCCTCGCCCTCCTCCATCTGCGTCACCCCATAAATGCACATGAGTGCTGCTGATAACAGGACAGGGCTCCCTCCGGAAGGAGAATGGCAGATGCCCTGACCCCTTCCCTGGACTTGAGTGCATTGTGGTTGGGGAGACCATTGGGGTGTGGAGTTCCTGGTTAGTTTTCCCAGATCATGCATGCCAGGGCCCAGCTCTCTTTAGTGAGGGTTTAGGGTTGAGACTCCCCCTAAGTTGCCATCCTCAGACTGACCAGCTTGTGTGAAGGCTAACGGGGAATGTCTGCACTTCATTGCTTCTTCTAAGTTAACAGCACTGGGTCCAGAGCCCTGGCCTCTGTCTGTTAAGGTAACCACTCTGCCCTGTGTCTGCTCTTAGAGTGGCCTTCTGTCCTCCTTCAGCTTGTCCATGACCGACCTCTCGAAGTCCTGCGAGAACCTCTCTGCAGTCATGTTATACAACCCAGGGTGAGTGAACAGCTGAGTCTCCTTCCCTGTGATTATCACTGTGGTGGTGTCTATTGTGTCAACTCCATTAAAGTCTCTAGATAAAAATAACACCCCTGCAATCTCGCCTCCTTATCCAATCAGCTGCAGTCATTTTCCAGTTTCCCTTCCAGCCCTTGCTATATATGTATGTAATTTTACTTACTTATAATCACAAAATGAATGAGATTACATATTCTGATTTTACTTTTTGCTAAACAGCATAATAAGCATTACTAAGGGTTGTTATGAGCTTCATTATCATTTTCATAACTGTCTAATATTTTAGAGCTGGCACTTTGATTACTCAGTACACGATCTATCTTTGGCTGAAGCACTTTCAGCTCATGTTACACATTTATTGTAGTAACAGAGACAGTTTTAATTCTTAGGGCACAGTATAACCCAGGAAATTATCTTCACAACTTCTGAGCACTGGGGGCCTGCCTCTGAGGACACAAACGTTGTATTTTAAATGGACTTCATAGCTGGTGACCTTGGGCTGACCTTAACTACTGAGGTGTTTTGTGGTTTCCACAGTGAAATGGTGGTAATAATGAGAAGGTTTTAAAACATGGAACTGAAAGAAATAACTTTGGGGGTCCTTTTCAGTTTTGTGAGGTTCCATACATTTATTGTTCTTTAAGGAAAATACCATGTAATGCCAGGGTTCTTTTCCCAGCCTTGCAAAGGCTTCAGCATTCTGGAGAAAGGGGCTGCGCGTAGATGATTAAAAAGGAATGCAAAGATGAAATATATTTTTGAAGGGCATTGGGGGTCAGAGGAACTTCAGCTAAAAGGGACTGAAAACTCTCCCTTGATGAAGGTCCCCTGCTTTTATTCACATGATTTATTCTAAGGCAAGATGGAGGTAATACACTTCAAAGGGTAAGGCTTACAGATGCATTGTCATTTTGGGGAATAGCCTATAGTTGTTCAGGTGTTTGGCCAACAGGAAGCAATAAAATGCCCTTAGCTGTCTGGCAGCTAACAATCCTATTCAGGTTTGGGGGAAGTGACTTTTAGTCATTTCCAACAGGTAAACTATATATGTGGCTCACCTTTGTTGAGCCCCCCAACTCCTATCAACCTTTTGATGGAACTCTTGTAATTATTACATGCTGGAATTGGTTCTTGGCAATGTAAAGCAATGAAGTTAAATCAAATAGCCAATGAGATAATATTGACAACACCTTCTAGGACTGTCATTTATTTAGAGATTACTGTACAACAAGCACTGTGTTAAGCACCCCACTTTCATCTTTTACTTCTTACTACTCTGTCCCTGTTTCACATAGACTTTATATAGATTTGCTCACACACAGTTTCATAGTTAGTGCTCTGGTGTGAGTCCAAGTCTCTCTGATTTCCAACCTGTGCTCTGACCATGGGTTACTTCCGACCTGGGGCAGGCCTGTTCCATTGCCCATTGCCCCTGGCTCAGCACTGCTCAAAAGCACTGGGCCTAGTGGCATTCCCTCCTCCAGCTCAGGTCAGTACACTGGTCCGTGGAAAGCAGACATGCCTACAGGATTTTTTTTTAAATGTATCTTTATTTTTGAAAGTATTATAGATGTTCCCTTTTCTCCTCCCCATTGACTCTTTCTGCCTCCCTCTCAGCCCCTCTCTAGGCCTTCACTGTACTATTGTCTTTGTTCATGTATTATGCCATATATATATATATATATATATATATATATATAGTCAAAGGGGTTTAAACCTGGGAGGCACCTTTGGCCACATTTCTGTATTACTTATTTTATAGGCAAGCTGAAGCTAAGTTCTGACACTTTGCTTGAGTTTAAAAAAAATAAAAAAGCCAGTTAGTGCAACATTGGGGCTGCTGCAGGCTCCTGGGCCTCCCTCCTTCCAGAACTTCTGGAAGTGAAAGCAAGCAGTTGACTCTGTTCTGTCAATTGAGGAGAGCTGTGCTTATGAAACAAATATGTCTTGAAATAAACTCTCTCAGAGCAGTGGTTTGCCGTTACTTTGGAAGGCATGTTTGTTATAGGCCTTTAAACCTTGCAGCAGTGATTTTCAGGTGGTATGCCACAAGAATTTTTAAAACATGTAATCCTTGACTATTTATTTAGGGGCAATGACCTCTTTTCCCTTAGACTGTCAAATTACAAAAAAATTACAATAGCTAACACAACAGTAGCCATCTAGTATGAATGAATTTATATTATACCTACTTTTTTTTTGTCAGATCAGCATATTTTTGGTGTACTGCAGAATTTTAGTAATTTGTTTATGTGTGAATGAGTTGCAAAAGGTTGAAGCATTTTGCCTTATAGCAATTTTACCAACTGCCTTTTATTGTGACCAAGTTGAATCATTTATATAGTCACTTTGTTTAACTTTACTAAAATATGCAGGTCTTCAGGGTTCATTTCAATTTACATGGTGTGATCCATCTATGCGATAATTTTGGGATAATTCAATTGGCCTGGGATATGGAGAGTGCTTGCTTGGGATCATCTCCCAGCCCTGGGCCCAGTTCCAACCTTAGAATCCAGGTGTCAGCTTCTTTTTCCTTGATGGCTCTGTGCTCTGACCATGGGTTACTTCCGACCTGGGGCAGGCCTGTTCCATTGCCCTGGGGCAGGCCTGTTCCATTGCCCATTCCATTTCAGAGTAAAAGAAACCATTTGGAAATGGTTTCTGAAACCATTTGGAAATGTTATATCGCTGTCCAGTGCTTTTGAAAACCAAAAATTGATCTGCAATTGACCTAACCTCTGAGACACAGGCTCACCAACCATATTCCCCTCTTTTTTTTGCATATAAAGAGGGGATCTCAGTCCTTTTTTCTTCCAAACACAGGTGAGTGTGTAGCCCTCTGAAAAGTGATGCCAGTTTTGTTTTTCTTTGCTTATTTTTAAGTTAAAATAGTTTTTTCTGTGTTTATAAAATGCAGGTCAGAGTGTACTAATTTTCATATCAAAGCTTTTTAGTAGTATCTATAATAATAAAAGCCTACTAGTACTATGGTAATTAGACCAGACATCCTTCCAGATGTCCTTCCGGATGACCTTAGGACGAAGCCAGGGCTGCCAGTGCTGAGGCAAGCTGCCGCGGCTGCAAGGGCTCAGCCCCTTGCACAAATTTCATGCATCGGGCCTCTATTAAAAAATAAAAGTGCAACCCTTTACTATGTCACCAATGTTGTCCACAGATTGTGCTCTTCTAAGCACATCCGTCCATGTATCTGGTACCTTAGTCATTGCTCAGCCTCACCTGCTACCCATGCCTTTGGGCTCCTCCCTTGCTTGATTCAGAGCCTGAAATGTGTTGTAAGATGCACCCACTTCTCCTGTAAGGCTTAGTACAGATCATATCTCCTCTGAAAGTTACTTTCAGCTTTTATCCCCAATGAGAAATGTGTCCCTTCCTCACAGTACTTTGTTCCATTTCTGTCCTCTTTATTTTGTTCTTTGCAATGGACACTCATCCATCCACAAGTTCCTTCTGAGTGCCTCCTGTGAGCCTGGCAGGTTCTAGCACAGTGGCCTGGTTTCCAAAAACACTGAGAAGGTCAATTTGCAGCTAGCCGGAGGAAACAGGCAAGCACAGGTAATTTATGGATAAATGCAGAAAGTGAACATGAAATTAACGTACAATGCCTTAGGCGGTATTTGATGCTGTGCTCAGGAAAGGTTTCAGGTGGGGAGGATGTTTAATCCTAGACTTGAGTGGAGAGAAGGCGATGCTCAACAGAAAGGAAGGAGAGGAGGGTATTTCAGGCCAACTACAAAGCAAGCACAATGGCTTCAAAATGAGAAACTGAATGAGGGTTGGAATAGAGGGAATAGTACATAGAAGAGTGGTTGAGGGTGGGTCTGTATAGATGATGTGGGGCCTGGTAGGCCGCTGGAAAGAGCTGTCTCCTTTCTAACAGGCCTAGGGAGCCATTCGAGGGCTCTGAAAAGGGGAGTAATTTGAAGACATGCATACTACAAATAGGATATGCATAATTTGGAAACGGTATCATAGAAGCAAGAAACCATTTAGAAAATGATTTCCTTATTCCAAGTGAAAGATAACAGTGGTTTGCATGTGGATGGTAGACATAGACATGGAGTATAATGGAATCAAGGGTGATTCCCTGGTTTGGGGTTAAACCATAGGGAAGATGGTGTGTCTATTTCTGAGATGTGGGAGATGGGGAAGGGGAGCAGCTTGGGCCTCCATTTGGATAATATGAGTTTGGCTTATGTGAGTATTTTTCTTTTTAGGTCGGAAGTTTTTCAAGGTCAAGGACTTGTCTTAGTAATGTCTGGATTCTAAACTGTCATTCACAAAGCCTGCCTAGTAAATGTTCAGCAAACATATTAAGTTTTAATAAGATATATGGATCTTTATGGAAAGGTTTTTGTGTTTTTTCCCCCTAATTTCTCTGGGTGTCAATGTTCTAAATAGCAGAAAATGGGATATTGTGCAAAGGAATGCATTTTTGTGGCATGGGGTCAACTCCCAAATTACACTGCAGCTTTTGGATAATCTCAAAATTATGTTCAGGATCCTTAAGCAAAAGATAGGAAGAGAGCCTCATGATAAAATGAGGAATTAGGCCAAGGCATTCAGAATTGAAGTGAGTGGCTACGTGTTTTAGACCACATCACAATTGGCTGAGGAGATGGGTCTAGAGGCATTTGGTAATACTATCGTGCCTCCCATTCACCTGAGATCAGTTAACAGACATATTTTGTCTCTGCTCCCCCTGCAATACTCATTTGTAAAAATTCAGATTAAAATTACTTTATACTTCATCTCCCTGGCTTCATGCTACCCTCCGCTGCCACCTGCTGTAGAGAATGATCCCCTGAGAGTGGAAATATAATTGAAGAAAAATGTCTTACTCTGATGTATAGGAAGCAGACACCTTGTGAAGCTGACTGCTCCAGCAACCTGGCAGAGTGAAGCAGAATTCAGTCTATAACCATGCTGTCTAAACCCTTTCTGATGGTACTAATGTAAAT